AAACAGCAGGGAAATAATCACATCTATATTTTACCTAGAAATCAAAACGCACCTTTGCAAATAACCCCGTCAAAGACTGGCGAGGTCACACAGACTCTTATCAGTGTGCAGAAGACAACTTCTCAACACCACACTGCTTCTCCAGACACAAGCAGGAAAGAGACATCGCATTCATAGTTTAAAAAAAAAAAGAAGTTTAAATGTGCTCCCAGTGCTTTTCCTTGCATTATTATGAAAATATGCTTACAGAATATTCTAAAAGGTTACTACAAAAGGGGACTTTAAAAGCAAACTTCTATCACAGGAGAGAAAAGCAGTGGAACATCATTTACTGGGCGCCTACGGTTTACACAGCACTGCACCAGGGCCGGGCCTGCGCAGCCAGACCCCAGTCCTGACACCTGGGGGCTGGGTCCATAACTGCATCTCAACAGGGGCCAAGTGAAGGCCCCTGGCATCTCCTCCAGTCAACTCTGTGAGCTAAATAATAACACAATCTCCAAACGATGCCCCACGCTAGGTAAAACTGTATTCTCTTCCCAACGTGACCACCTCCCGCCCCAAATCTGTTAAGAACTTCACTTACTATTAAATATGATAAGGATTGAGCTCGAGCTGGGTCCAATCTGGAACTAATAAAAAAAATACTCTTGGGAGCTTTTCCTTCCTTTATAACATTTATTATGACATTTAACATGTTAAACCTTCGTGTTAAATTAGAGGAAATATTCAATGAATGAAATGTACTTATTGACAATTGGCATGGTCATAAGGGTTTATATACTCTAATATGGTTTTGAAAGTTGGCCTTTAAACGTAGTGAAATGACCCATTCTTTTTCAAGTTTATTTCCAAGTCAATAAACTTGCTTAAATGTAGATAGCCAAAAATCTTATTGAAAGTCAAAATTTTAGGAGTGTTTTCTTAATCACTTCAAGTGATTCAGAATAACGTGTAGCTCTTTTTTTCTCTTCACACTAAAACAGTCTACACTTCTTGTATTTAGTATTTCAAAACTACACTATAATATGTAAGATGTATTAGATATGACCACTTGATAATAGCATCTTTCTAATGCTTAATGATTAAAAATTCTTTACACCAAATACCACCATCCTGTCACGGACGGTGAATTTGTAACACCTTCTGAATATACACACTCACATTAAGAAACAGAAATTAATTATTTACTTATACATAATAAAATGCATTATATGTAAGATAAAAATAAAAATTTTAAAACGGTGCTGAAAATCTTAATTTACATCAAACAGATCGTTTCACAAGACCAGAATGCTGAATAAGATTCTGTATTAAATTTTAAAGAAGTTAACTCGTTACATTATCTAGTATCTGGGGCGGGGATGGGAGGGTCATTCTGATACACTAAAGCTTTAAATACATCATGAACAGTCAACATTCAACCCTTACACATCCACACCTCAGACAGAGAGAACCCATTTTGTCTACTTTAGACTGTGTTATTTGTTAAACACTACTGAGTTAGAATTGCTTAAAGTCCATTAAGCAATGTGGGTCAAATTCACCTTTCAGGTGTCATTTGTAACCTGCTTCTGAATATAGGAGTTAGTTTATCACTATTTACCTTAATATTCTTAGGAGAATGCCCTTCCTAAATCTTATTCGACTTTTAATTATTAATAGCTTAATTTTCCAGTAAGTCAGTCTCATCCTATTTATTTTTGAAATATTAACAATTCCCAAAGGACTTCTTAAAAAATGTTAATGATAAAAACTGAAAGGAGCAGTTAAGACTTAAAATGAGCTTAGGAAAATGGTATTGCAATTTATTATATAGTTCAAACTAATTGTGTGTATATACTTGGGATGGAAAGTTTCAATAGTGCATTAAAATGAACTCATTTGAGATTTCAAATGCTATATTTGGTTCAACCGGTTCGCCTACCCCACCCTCACAAACACACTACAATACCACTAACTTTGATTGATAGTTATTGAGCCCTGAAATTTATTTTTTTTATTTAAAACACTCAAACTACATCATGTCTTAAGATCTTTACGTGGCATTGTCACTAAAAATACAATACAATGTAGTTACAGACAAAATTTACAAATATGTATTCAAATGCATCTACTGCCTTGCAAAGTTATTCTTTGTCATCATATAAAAATTCTCAGTAGAAAAGCTTGAGACTTATTTTAATGGCGCAAGTCTTGAGTGAAATGATGGAATCGAAACACAAGTGTTCTTGTCAGAAGACAGGAAGAGAGTTTTTGCCCCTCCCTTAAGGAAAACAAAGGATTTTCTGAAAGCTTTGTCCTGATTTATTTTTCCAATTTTAAATACCTTAAGAGTAGCGGAACTGCTACTGGCATGGTAGTATTTCTAACAGTCAATAAATCTAAAGTATTATGTGTGAATATTGGAATGGAGCCATTAAGAAGATTACAGCATGCAACCCTGCAGAGGGTTCCCAGGAAGAAAGAACCGGTAACTCGGGACAACTGTGACCACTGACCCCGCGGCAGCCTGGACCACTGGTCAGGCTGACACAGTAATAAAGTACACATGCGGAGAAAGTCTCCTGCCTGCAAGCGGAATTGAAATGCTCCGGTGCTTGATTTAAAAGGCCCTCCATTTAAACCTCAGTTAACTTATTAAACAATCAAACAATACCAATAGTCATATTTTTCAGGCTTCACGTATACTTTATTAATGCAAACCACATGCATGATTCTAACACATCTCCCTTAAAACATTTGACATTTAAAAACTGCGCAATCATACACTTTATCCATATTTCTTCCAGAGCGATAGGAGACAGCTTTGGAAAACTGATGAAAAAAAGCTCCATTTATTAGAGATAGGTTAAACAATCACCTCTAATACCTTGTAAATTATCTCATCCTTTGAACAAAGCAACTGTTGTTTTGATTTCTACAGCATTCAAATTTGTGTCTAAATCCTGGCCTTCAACTTAAGGATCTATGTATAATTCACATCTTGCTGTGCTTCTTTTTACATATATATATATATATATATATATATATATATATACACATATATATGTGTGTATATAAATATTGTTTACAAGTAAATGGCACCATGGTCTCTTCTGTCACTGTACACATAAAAATTGGAACATTTTATGAATGTTGTTTAACTTCCCAAACTATTTAAATAAATATCTTTATTATCAAACTAATTCTACAGAAAAAAACCCTCTATCTTAATTTTTTAAAAAATCTTGAAAACATACCATTTTAAGGGTTTTCAAGGAACCATCTCACAAAGTCTGTTTCCCAAAATATCAATATCACATACACAAAAGCCGAATGCCTTTCTCTCTCCTTTCCTTTTCTTCTTCTTTCCTTTTACTTTTGAAGAACTATCTCTTCTCCTTAAGGCAAATACACCCATAATATGCATCAGGAAGACATTTTTAAAAATTAGGATTCTATTTTCATAGTTATTTCTCTTTTCAGTGAAGAAAAGTTTCACAAATTTCTAAATGAACAGCTAATCATTTCTAGGAGTTTCTGGCAATTTTTTTACACTAAGTTGATGTGGCCATAATAAGTAAAAAAGATAATGTAATTGTTCACTGGCCTAAGTTTGGATTTGTTCATAAGCACATTGAATTTTACTAGAGTCAGATAGGGTATTTCATTTTAATGTGTTTTGAGTCAGTAAGAACTTTTAAGTTATTTGGGGAATAAATAAGATTTTGACTTTTAAATCATGTTTTTCTATCTTAGCCATAAGAACAATCAAGGCTAGGACTCAAAAATTTTTAATTTGGGGCTTTAAAATGTACTTCTTTAAATTCCTTCAAAATGGCTTTTAAAGTATTTACAATTTACAGAAAAATATTGTTAATTCCCAAATCTTAAGAAGAAAGAATGAGGAAAGAAGAAAAAAATGAATGCTTTGATTTTTTAAAAGAATTATTATAAGCTTAGAACTCTATTATTAGGATATTTATGAACAACAATAAAATGTGTATACAGAAATAACACTAGCATGCATTTATTTTTTTAATTGTAAAGAAGAACAGGGCAAAATAACTGCATTTTTTGGAGACTATTTAACATGAAATACAGAATATGCCATTATAAGCTACACACACACACACACTCACTCTCTCTCTCTCTCTCTCTCTCTCTCTCTCTCTCCCTTCCTCCCTCCCTCCCTCCCTCTCTCTCTCTCTCTCTCTCCTCTGCAAGATCAAAGACCAGAAGGGAACTGGCACTTAATTTATCAGCCTTTACAGACAAAAGACAGTTTTTGTCATTTCAAAAGGATCCGATGTCTTTTATGACAAACTGGGTTTTCAGTTTAATTTACAAATAGAATTCTAAGTAAGCAGTCTTTGCTCTGCCAAGGCAAATGACACACTGTATAGGTTTTCATTCTTGCAGCCCTCAGCAGGAGAGAAAAGATTAAAATAAAACTGAAATAATTTAGAGAAAACAAATAAATGTTTCAGAAAGTTGGGAGAGATCAAAGCCAGAATTTTCTGACCCCAACTGTACAAGCATTTCTTATTATATTGACCACTACCACCAGATCATTAATTAAAAGGAAAAGCGCTGGCAGGTGGCAGAGAAGCAAAAGCCGATAATTGGCCCCCTTCTTCTCCCTGCCTTCAAAAACTCTCTCATTCTTTTGCAAGACATGCCACTAGGCAGACAGCAATGCCTACTTTGTAATATAATGATTAAGATGAGATGAAGAGGCCTGCGTTTAAAGAAACGCTGCCTAATGAATGCATCTAGCTTCTTAATTACGATCCTACTTTTACAATAAGGAATATGGCGTTCCATTCAACATCTCCTCAACTGCCAAAAGGTAAAAAGTATTAAAAACAGAATTGCCAATGAGTCCTCTCTCCCTGTTGTACCACATCCAACCTTTTAATTTCAGATTTTTTTTTTTTTAAGTAACAAAAATGACTCAGTTACTTTGGGGATGGGGGTGAAGGCGAATGTGTACAAAAACCACACCTGAGACTTACCACATCGCTCGGGAGGTTGCTCAAGTCATTAAATGGGGATTCGAACGTGTTTGTGTCGACATTCAGCAAAACCACGTCTTCCAATGACTTATTTCTCACTCTCTGTTTAAAAAGCACAATGATTAAAAAAAAGATCTTATTTTCCTTAGGAAAGCATGATGAGCTTGAAAACATACAAAAAATCATCTTAATGCATCACGTTTAGGAGTATCCTACAAATATAAATGACTGTCTTCTAAGAAACGAAGACTGTTTATGACCCATCCAAACAGATGTGTAGTAAGAATGCTCAGAGAATTTGTTCAAATTAACTACCAAAGAAACATCATAATAAAGACTTATTAAATAGTCAGTGTTGTGTCAAACCGTAAAAACATTTATAGCCTTTAAAACTGATCAATTGAGTATTAATCCCATGATAGAGGAATTTATGCCCAGATCTGTATTGGCCTCAGCGTAAATTATATTGAATAAGGACGATGCAAACCAATAACTATGCCTATAGTATCAAGTACATTTCAAATGAATGGACATTTTCTCTAGTAATAGGTATGCACTGATGAGGACTGGAATTGGCATAAGAAAATAACAGGATACGAATATGGGGTGTGTTGGTAGGAACTCTCCTTACATGAACTTCAAAATAAAGAATTAGATTCAATAGCTGATCAAATCTTCTCTTTGGTCTAATTTACTTGACAGTTTAGTCAAAATTGTCCAAGTATCTCAATGTGTCCACAAAGGATAGCAAATTGATATACTACTTAATTTTTAATCCTTACAAAAAAGAAAACTTACAGTTTATTCTTCCTACTTAACATAAATCATTGGATTCCACTGTCTTGTTGAAATGATGACACACAGTATTATTATTCTTCAGTTAGAAGTAATGGGCTCATTAGCAAAATATATCCATGAATTCAGAATTCTGTAATTGTGTGTGTCAATCAGCAAAAGATCAATAACTAATTTCAGGGCCATATTTTTAAGTCTACTTGAAGAACAAAAGTCATGTTTGACGATTAATTAAATACCTTAAATTTTAAATTGGCTTAATGAATTATTCTGTACTAAGTTGTCTATGACTGAAATTGCTCTGATCCATTTAGAACTTCAAGACTCAAGTATTGGGCAGAATGTTAAATTTGCTAGGGAAATGGTCATTTAAGTAAGGGATAGTTATGTGCTAAGAGAGCCATAATGTCCATGCAATGTGTGCATTTTGGGGGATGAGGGTATGGTGGTTTTAAAACTTGATCTGGTAAAGGACACTGTGGGTATTACGAACTTGAAAGATAACAGCAGAGACTCATCTCTGGTGGTGTTGCTGACACTGCTGCAGATGCATTTACAAATCCCCTCCTTCTTTCCCTTCCATGTGCACAGATATAACAAAGGTTCAAATCCACATATATGTGAACATCTATATACTAGCTAAGTGTAATTAGAATACTTACAGTAGTGCATTACTGTGGGGAAAAAAACTATGTCATAACTCAACCTCCTCTTTGATTTTTAAGCTGGCCTCATGCCAGAAACTATAAAGAGAACCGGGAAGGCTGGATTCAGGGCTGAGCTGAGGTTGCACATCTAACCCAGGACAGAGACTGCATGCCCCCAAATGTTTTGAGATTATTATTCTATCATTAAAATCTGAATAATCAGATGTTAACATGAAATGTATACATTTTCCAAATTACCTTTAGTTGTACAAAGTCCAATAATAGTTGAGTATCAGATATTGTCTACATTACTACTCTATAAGAATAAAAATGTATTCATTTTCAATCAACCACTCAATAATCCCTAAAGTTAAAACAGCCTTAAGTGAGCAAAACAGGAAAAAATAGTGTGCAAAAGATTTAAATATTTTTCAAAGAAAAGTTGGGCTGCTAGCAGCATGCTATGCAGTTTTTTTTCCTCCTTAAATAGGTTTCAGGTATTTTTTTAAATTAAATTCTAAATAGGTGTGGGAAGCCCTAAAGCACACCTCCTAACTCTGCGGCATATTTTTCATCTCTCACAGTTATGTGACCTAAATTTGAAAGTGTAAAATAAGGGGGAAATTTTTGTTTTCTTTTCTTTAAAAATAAGGAAATATTATTAAACACACACTGAAAGAACGTGTCTAGTATTTCCGTCTATAGTAACTCTTCCACACAATGTGGACCCAAATAGGCATTATGTACACTCATGCCAGGACATGACCCAGGGCCAGCAGTCAGATGCCCTTGAGAAATCAGGCCACATCTCACCTGCCGTCCTGTGTACAGGAAAGCATACAAGACAAACCTCCTATTTGTAGTGTTCACTAACTTACTCCTAGTCAGCTCCGTGCTTTCAGTTCATCCTCAGTCTAGTGTTCAGTGAGAACAACAGCTTTCCTTTATTTTAAAAGTAAATTTGTATTTTAAAAAGAGGTTTTTTAAAAAAATATCCTTCACTCACAGGTACATAAAAGTATATGAAAGAAAGATTTCAAGGAACATTAATTTCATGTCTTACAAATGTTGTGTTTGATCGGTTTTCTAGAACTGCTAATACATGCTGAAATTTGCTTGGCCAAGAAAGAAGAAAGAAAATATTTTGATTTTTCTTTTAAAGAATAAATCAGTTGTAATTACCAAGTATAACATTAAAATTTCACTCAGCTCAGTCTCTCATTGAACAACATAAATAGCTAGAAGATATATATTTTTTTAACCAGAAGGTACTTATGTAAAATTAACAGCGCTAAGATGACGTATATCATCTTGTAGTTGATTAAGAGAAAGTTACTAAATGGTAACAACTGACTTAAAAGAATTCCTGGAGTTCCAACTATACCTTCTCATTCATTATCAAGCTAGATAAGTGAAATAAAACTATTAAGAGTATTGAACATACTCAGCATGTAAAACTACAGAGATTTTTGCCAATTTAATCCTGGCTCCAAAATATTCCCACTCAAAATCAGGAGCTCATATATGTTTTAATGGACTTTATTTCCAAGCTAATGCTTTCTAAAGTAAATAATTCTTAAATTGTCTCCTTAAAAAATTAGCTTTCTTTATAATAAGCAGGTTCTATTTAATAAATATGTGATTGACATAAGTAAAACATGTAAATATATAGCTTTCTAAAGTAGTTTATAAAAACCCAATGATTTGTTTTAAAAATTGATTGAAAACTATTTTGCAAAAAACAATAGCACAATGCCAGTAACTTAAAATATTTATTTCTACAAGAAAATATATTATAAAATTATAAGCCCTATCAAATACAGAAAGATATAGATGCAAATATGAAAAATAAAGTTTGATGACTTTAGAAAAAAATTCTAACCATGGCTAGATTTGTATGAAGTCAAATTTGTAAAATACCAGTTTATATATCCCATATAACAACAAATGAAGTAGCAATTCACTCATTTCATTTTATATACTGTCTCCTTACTCTCCAAATACCTGGACTGTTAAGAAACAAGTTCTCTAAAACTTAAGTAAATAAAAGGAGTCATGAAGTTACCAATCCACACTTCAAATTAAAGACAAATTAAACCTGCTAAGAGTTCACTAAAGTCTATTCTTCAATAAGAACAAGACAGATTTAAAATATTGTCCTACCATTTTTCAAAAAGAAGAAAAATATCCCAAACAGAACTGGTAGAGATTTATAACCAAGGCCTTCTACTAGAGACATTACTCACACACTGGGGTCCTAAGAAGGCTTACTCAAGAGATTCTTCTTTGTCAAAACAAGGAGAGATGGTGGGTGCTGTATTCAGTGATACGAATTTATTTGCTCACTGGAAAATCAGGTTACAATGTTGATGTACAGTGCTAGCAAAGCCAGCACAAGAAGTGCATTCAGCTGCCTCATATCTTCTATTTTAGTAACAAGTTTCTTATTTACTGTGTCAGATACCAATTTTTGTGCAAAACAACACACACAAAAAAACCCATTCTCTGGAAATCTCACTTATTTCAAGTTTAAGGTATTACAAAGTGAAGGAGTGTCGTTAAGGTAATAATGTAAGTGATTTAAAAAAAATCGTTCTTAAATGGTATAGTAACAATGGGAAAAAATTACTAAACTTTACACTGCCTAACAAAATTGAATATTTGAACTTAAGAAGCTACATTATCATTCTTAAGTTTAACATTAGACTGCTGAATCTACTTTTTGAAACAGCACTTTGATAAACTGAAAAACTGAAGTTTTACAATTGAAAAATGTCGCATTTTATGAATTGAAGTTTTGCAAATGAAAAAATGTCGCATTTTATGAGTCAGGTTATGTAAGTTTTCACTTTAAAAAAAAAGTCTGACTTTCCTGGAAAGGGGAGTCTCTGAGGAAGATTCATGTTTTTAGTAACTAAAATTTACCCTATAGCCTCTAACAAATATAATTATCTTCAAAGGTCCTATGGCATTGAAAATGATAATCCAGTTTACTGATTTAAATGCAATTATTTCAATATTACTTTTTTGCAGATCATTTTTCTCAAATATATTTCAAATATATGAAACACGTATATCTTAGATACAAAGCTAGTCGCTACATGGTATTTCCTATTCACTTGTTATTTCTTCGAACAAAACTGTCTTAACTGTCACTTTTAGCTAATTTTAGCATTCTATCCACTCTGCAAGGCACTCACCTCTAAGAGGCTGGAGTGAACACCAATCAGGTACGGCATTGGGGCACTAAACAAAAAACATAAATACAGTACAGATTCAGAGTTCATCAAAACTGAAACAACATAAGTCATTCAAATGCTTTAAACTTATTAAATGCTAATTTTTGGCATGGCACATTATAGATACTCAAAATTATTCGATATGTAAAACTCCAATTTAATATTAGAGGACATTAATAAATTTAAGATTGACTTATATGAAAAGCCCTGAATCATTTATAATGAAATAAAGAGGTATCAAGAGTTATATGACTAAAAAATATTTTTAAGAAAAAATCAGGATTAAATCAGTTAAATCTAATATATATATTCTCATACATATACATTCTCATACATACATATTATATATGAGAATATATAATATATAATTTATAATAGATATGAGAATATAGGCATGAAATAATTTTAATACATAAGTTCTGAGTTATTAATGATATCAGAATACTTTTTAGGAAATATATGATGAAAAGTATTCAACACACAATTTCCAGCTAGACTGCCATCTACAATATGAGAATTGACAGATGTCAATGAAGCTGAAAAAAGATACATGAACAAGTAGCTACTGAAAAATAAAATACTTTTGGCAATTCTTTTATAGACATCAGTGAAGCTTTATGAATGCAAACCTTTTCTGTTCATGCAAACAGATAATCCCCTTTCTCAAAGGATTTGCATAATTTCCTAATACCACTGACATTATTAAAACAGTCACCCAAACTCCTGAGGTCTGTGTGTTTGCTTTGCTTCTGAGAAGCAAAGCAGATGAAACTACAGGCATCTTCACAGAGGCTGAGGCTTCAAAGACAGCTGAAAAAGTTCCAGATTTACCAAGGACGGCGAGGCGCTAACCGGTGTAGCCAGAATGCACACACCATGCTGAAGTTCTCCTTTTGCTCCTCCTTAGCCTGCAGCTTCCAGAGCAGTACTCGTGCTGTGCTTGATCCTAACGCCCAGTTGCCTCCTTGCCTTTTGTCACTGTTCTTTCCTAATTCCCATGTGACAGTCCATCTGTAACTGATCCAACACTCTGGATTCTTCACTGGACTCCAAAGTTGAGAACTATTTAAAGGCAAGGATATCCTCAAAACCTTATCAGATCTTCTGCCAATAGTTGGACGACATGAACTGCTCCCCTTTGACTTCAATAGCAAAGAGCATCCATGTCCCTGGTTCAAGCTCCTAAGCTCCCACCCCAGAGCCCTTAAAACACTGTCTGGAGCCCAGGACGGTGCCGGGCAAGTTACACACGACAAGCTAGACAACTCCCACCAAATTCCTGAAATAGGGTCCTGTGAAGACGTGCAGTCCTCCGCCGCTTAGGATGCGTTCCTGTCATCACATTCGTAATACTCAAAGCCCCTGGGGCTCTGCAGCCCCAAAGCACATTGTAGTAAGGGAGGAGTGTTAATCAACTTCCAGTGTGGTGGATCCCGCCTGTCATTCAGGCTATTCTGGATGCAGAAGTTAGGAGGATCACAGTTCCAAAGCCAGAAGGGAAAAGAAAATCCCATCTGAATCAATGACTGGGCATGGTGTTGTACTCCTGTCATCTCAGCTACATGGGGGAATAAATAGGAAAAGTGCAGTCCAAGCCCATACGGACAGAAGATGGGAGGCCCTGCTAAAAAACTAACTAAAACAAAATGGCCTAAGGCTGGGAAGGTGGCTCAGTGGTAGAGTGCTTGCCTAGCATGCATGAAGCTCCGGGTTCAATTTCTCAGTTAGCACATACATAGAAAAAGCCAGAAGTAGTGCCATGGCTCAAGTAGTAGATTGCTAGCCTTGAGCAAAAGATGCTCGAGGACAGTGCCCAGGCCCTGAGTTCAAGCCCCAGGACTGGCCAAAAAAAAAAAGGTCTAATAGGTCTGGCTGAAGTGTTGGAACACCTCCCTAGCAAGTGCAAAGCCCTGGTTCAAACCATAGCACCAGAACAAACCAGCCAACAAGCCAGCCACCTGGTTATCTGAGAGGTTGAGATGGTTGTGACCAGAGTTCGAGGCTGGGCAGGAAAAACATCACGAGAGCCCTTCTCAATGGAGAGCCGGGCTGGGCAGTGTGCATGGTGGTCATGGCTACCGGGAAGCCTAAGAGGTGAATCTCCCCGGGGCCTGGGCCTGGGCAGGAAGCAAGGGCCTCTCTCCAAAATGATGAGCAAAACGCAGGCGAGAGGCCTGGCTCAGAGGCATGCACACCTGCCTAGCATAGCAAGCCCAAGGCCCAACATGCACACCTCAGTACTGGAGGGGGAAAAAAAGTTATCAAAATACCAAAATCTTCTAGAATACACTAAAAAACACTCCTGAAAAACACTTTCAAAGATGTGTGGAAGCAATTAGGTAAAAACTCTTCTCTCAGATGGACACTGGTAGCTCAGCTCTGCAATCCTAGCAGTTCAGAAGGCTGAGAGCTGAGGACCGAAAGTCAAAGCTAGCCTGTGAGACTCTTTCCTTCTCAAGCAAAAGCTTGAGACTGGAGGTGTGGCTCAAGTGGTAGGTCACCAGCCATGAAGGGAAAAGCTGAGCAGTCCTATGCTCAAGCCCCAGGTCCAACAACCAACATCATCAAATTAAAATATATGTGTGTATATGTATATTGTGCTACATGTACACACATGTAAACACATATTACATATGCACACATGTAGATGTATATGTATCTTCTCATCGAACCTAAATCTGATACTGTCACAGTAGGAGAGACAAGGTAGGACTACGCCTGCCTGATTATTCCAATAGTGAAGTGACTGAAAAGCTAAGATTCAGAAGGCTCTGTTATAACTGCTTCCTTTTCTTTCTTTTTTTGGTAGTGACTAACTTTTACTTAGAATTAACCTTTTCTTTCTAAGATGTTCTTGCAAAGTACTATATGGTACTATAGAGCACTCAGTAAGAGGAGAAACGAGGATCTTGAGTTTGAGAACAGATTAAGCAACATGGGGAGACTATCTTATTAGGAGGAGGAAAGGAAGGAAGGAAGGAAGGAAGGAAAGGGAGGGAGAGAGGAAAGGAAGGGGGAGAGAGAGGGAAGGAGGGAGGGAAGAAAAAGGAAAAAGGGAAAAGGAAAAAAGACAAAATTATAAAAGATACCATCTGAGATACAATCAGCATGTTTATATAAATTATTAAGCTAAATTCAAAGCTTCAACAGAACATTCCACGCAGACTTTAATATGAAAGTCCCTTGAACATTTTTACAGGACAGCAAGGTAACTCCAAAGTTTCTTTTTCTCACTAATTTCTAGAAGAATCTAAGATACTCAGATGTTTGAACTAAAGATCTCATTCATGTTTGTTATTCATATGTTGCAGAATTTCTAACATAATTATGATGTTCTGCCGAATACAGAGTTAATTGAATAGGTATTTCTCACGGTTTCACACTGGGTTGTGTACATTCTTGTTTCATGAAAAGTAATTTTTCAGCCCAGCTGAACTTCAGCCTAGCTGCTCAGGGACAAGATCTCTGGCCTCACCATGTGCAAAACTGTCGGCAAAGTGAATCTGAGAAGACAAGGCACACAAGAGTTGTTAGCACTAGTTCCTCTACTGGCTAGCAATTAATCCTTACGTAAAAATCACCTCTTTGCCTGGTGCCAGTAGTTCACACCTGTAATCCTAGCTACTCAGGAGGCTGAGATCTAAGGATTGGCAGTTCAAAGCCAGCCTGGGCAGGAAAGTCTGTGAGGCTCTTATCTCCAATTAACCACCAGAAAACCAGAAATGGTGCTGTGGCTCAAGTGGTAGACTGTTCGCCTTGAGCTGAAGAGCTGAGGGACAGCATCCAGGCCCAGAGTTCAAGCCCCATGACTGACCAAAAAAAAAAAAAAATCACCTTTTTTTCTTTTCCAGACATAATATGATCAAGGCACTCTATCAAATTTGTCTGAAAAACTTGGCTTTCCATTCATTTTTCAAACTATTTTCTTAGAAGCCAAATCTGAACACTTCATAGAGAGCACTTAGAGGCAGACTTAACTATTCCCTGAATAACTGATCATCTATGTATCATCGTCTGGGCCTAGCATCCCACGTGCTCCTCTATGTTTATGGACTCAGCAGCTTCTATCTCGCAGCTTCAAGTACTGTTATCAAGGTTGATAAAATAAGGAACAGCTTCTCCCCAACTCCACAAAGGGGCCTACCCTGGTTTTCTTGTACGTCTGCTACAGCATTCATCTACACTCTGTGTGTGTGTGTGTGTGTGTGTATGTCTATACATTGGCATGTATGTGCATGTGTTTCTTCCTGTGAAAATATCTAGAAAAAAATTTAGGTCTTCACTTTGTTACATAGCCACAGCTCACCAAGCAGTATTCATTAAGTGTTTTATGAATGAATGCATAAGCAACGCCGTGGTTAAATTTTGTCAACAGACCACAGCGCCATATTCACCTGTAGTCACAAGATGACATCACACCTCTCCACAGCCTACGCCTTGTCAGTTCAAAACCAAAAACACTTTGTGCAGCAATAATTACCTCAGGATCTGGAAAGCACACATTCCCTGCAAAGATACATCTACTCCTCAAAACTTCCCAGTGTTCATTTGAACCTGAGTCTAAAGTAATGATCTAGTCATGGCACTGAAGGACCATCTGTGATACTCTCCCCCTCTGGCCATACACACCAGTCTGTTTCTAACCTCTGGACATAAAGGCAACAGGATCATTCTCCCTACAAAGTTGTTTCACTCATCACACCTTCGGACAACGGAGGAGAACAAGAGTCTTGGTTCACCATCTCCAAGGGAACACTTAGATTATTCTGCCAAGTCCCTCTGGTTGCAGCTGAGCCTAGTGCTGTACCCTGCAAGCTCGGAAAGTTCCAGGGTGCTTACCTGGTACCACGGCTCCCTTCTCTTTCCAGGGAGGAGTGTGGTAGGACCTGTGCTCAGGGATACTTTGGACATTAGAAACAGAGACGTTCTGGGGCTCAAACGCGGAACGCGCGCTTCTCATTGCAGTGGAAGCAGCAGCAGAAGAAAGCCCCCGTGGCAGATATCAAACAAACAAGAGAAACAGCTCAGAGTGAGTGCAGGACTGTGTATGTCATCTAAGAAGCCCTAAAGAATAGCTTAGAAAATCTTAGATGTCCAATTTAAGAGTACAGAGAACTGAGCTTACAGGAGTGTTTCCTCTTAAGAAGTCAGACCATGTTAGTAGAAAAACCAAGAGGGCACTGACAATATAAGTTATCAATATAATAGGCTAGTGCTGGTGGCTCACACCTGTAATCCTAGCTACTTAAGAGGCTGAGATCTGAGGATCACTGTTCAAAGTCAGCCTGGGCAGGAAGTCTGTGAGACTCATCTCCCGTTAACTACCAAAGAATGGTGGAGTACTAGCCTTGAGCACAAAAGCTTAAGGACAATGCCCAAGTCAAGTTCAAGGCCCAGGCCCAGCACCAAAAAAAGAAAAAAAGAAAAAGAAAAACTGTACAATATGATAAATTATCACCCTAGCCCTCATAATTAGAAGCATTGGTTGTTGAACCACTAAATTGAAATTAAAATTGCATACTAAATTTGACATAAAAACTACCTATTAAAATAACTATTAAAGTTGCACAACAGTGTGTTTTCAAAGACTCTTTATAGACCTTTCTTAAAAATATTCTAATGACTGAACACCATGCACAAAGACCTATTACAGGTGTCAAAATGAATAAACTGCAGTCTCTGCCTTGAAAGGTGGTAAAATACTGCAGGTATGTTGGTCCAAGGAAAAACTCTCTAAAACACATCACAAAAGAGCCTATTTATAGATCTAGCTTTACACTTGGACCGTGTGTGTTATACTTCACAAGATAATTAAATTGCATTCCGCTAGTCTGCCAAACTGTGCTGCCTCCCGAGCTCCCCGCGGGTGGAGCGGTGGCCCGTCATTGGGCACCAAGCCCCCCACACGCCATTCACGCCGCCGCAACCACGGTGAGGAACTGGGCACTTCACGTCATCAACACGTGGTCAATGCAACCGCTTGCTCTAAAGACCTCGTCACAAAACTTCACAGAAAACCTCGGCACGTGAACTTAAATCACTGGAGTCTGTAAATAACTTTAATCTGTTTTCCATGAAATGACACCAAAAAAAGTTAATCCAAGACATTAATTCTAAAAGAACTTTTTGGGTTTTTTAAACTAATATGAGCTGTGTTATAAACAAACACTTACAATGCCAGAACGATTTCCTTGTGTGTGTGCATGTATACCCCGGCATGGTTTCGAGGGGGAAACCTCATCTAAGTTCTGAATTAAGCCGTACCAGTGAGAGATGATTCCGTGACCAAGATAACACTGGAACCTCAACCCCAGAGCTGCAGTGTCTGAGTCTAATGGATGTCTGGCCTCTTGGTATACACATGGAGGCCCTCCAAGGGAGGGGGTGAGGAGGTCATGGGTCATCGTTCTAACGTCTGTATAGGCCGGAATGAATGTTTAGGCTGAAACTTAGTCTCGAGCCAGGAACTCAAGAATGCTCCAGTTCGAGCTCCAGTTCAAAGCAACTCCTTTTGTGAGAACCCCACAGTCAGAAATGAAGGGGAGGAAGCGCGCGGAGGGAAGAGTTGGGAAGTCTGTGCTGACGCAATGGCCTGGTGACTGGCGGATGGGGCAGACAAACTGACCAGCCAGCCTAGGACGCTGAATCCTCCAAGTGATGCCACAGCGTCTGCACCGTGCCACGATCACCAGCAACCACCATCATTCTCTACCTAAGCATCTGCCTTTCTAAGAGGTGACTGAAAGAAACCCACATACACACCGTAAACAACTTGATGTCGTCTGCCAAGGGGAAGTCTCTGCCACCTTGGGGACGCACTACTTCGACCTGCAGGAGATACTCTCGAACACTTGTGATTGCTCCTACCTACACGATGGTTCCTGTACTCTGTAGGTGAGTGAGGGTTTCTACTTGGAGGAGCCCAGGGAAGCCAGCTTACCAGCAGTAGTCCAGCAGGTGAGAAGGGAGGACAGGAATATAAATGTGCTGCCAGTACATGGGGTAGAGCAGAGCGGCTGATCCGTGCACACAGGCGGTTAACTGAAATTTGTAAGAAGACCACAATGAGGAGCTGGGACCCTCCACAAGGAAAGGGGGGCTCGGGGAGCTACGCGCAGCGACCATCACCCCGGGCACGCCTGTCACTCGGGCTGTCTCCACCACGCCCGAGCGCACCTCTGTAGTCCCCCAGAAAAAGTCCATGCAGAGCAACAAGCTGCCTCCTGGGGCGCAGGGGCAGTGAGCGCCACGTGGAGACACAGGTTGGGGTGGAAGCTGAGAACATCGGCGCAAGTTTAGCTTTAAAAAAGAAATGAGGTGAGCATCTCAGAAAATACAGTGGGAGGCATTTTTTTCAATTTGTGCAGTGGGGTTCAGGCATTCCCTCAGACTAATCCACCGCGATTAAATATGGAAAGGAAGAGCGGTGAGAGCGCTCCTCGGGGATATCATTAGGGCAAATTGCCAAAGAATGAAACATGAGCCAGTCAGGAGAGTCTGGAAGCCGGGATAATACCAGGGGACCTGAACGGTCGACAGTTGAAGCTGTAGTAATGTGTGAACCGCGGGTTCCGGTATCCGGAGACACTGCTCACTGACACAGAGAATGCCACCATTGACCGGTGCGCCACCCAAGCTTGACAGCAGTCCTCCAGGAAGCCAAGTATGTCCTCATTGCATCTCAAAACCGCTCATTCCAGATTAACATTTCGTTTCCTAGCTCGAGATCACAACAGCTGCAATTACTGTGGCTGCTACTTTAAAGGTAATTGCCATTTTAATTGTTCCGATTTGGGCAAGCATTTAATTAAACGTATTTAATACTTCACAAAGGGCCATTACTCTTTTTTTTTTTAATTCCCCTCCTGAAGATCTTCGTCAGCATTCTTCCCCAAGTGACTTTATTTCCTTGGCAAATTCTACTCCTCCCTATGTAAAGTCAATTTTCAGTCATTAAAGCAGCATCTTTTTTCATGGGTTTAGAAAGTCTTGCAATTAGCCTTTATTTCAAGATTACAAATTTTAGTCAGCTTCAAAGTCCGAACTGCAAAACCTATCTGAACATGAACCAGAGACTTTCTATAAATTAACATTCCTATTTTATTATTACACAAAGAAATTAAGCATCACATGATAAACACAATTAATCTGAAATAATAAATATAAAGGAAGCAATTCAAGTCTATTAACAGCAACATTCACATGTCTATGTGTAAGTATAAAACAGTTCTATTAAATAAAAAAATCAATTAAAATGATCTGATCTGGACCAAAAACAAGAATTTTCATTGAAAATGTACCCACATTTGTCAGATATATTTTTCTCAGTCAGATTTTTTAGATCGATTTTACATGGCAAATAATACAACTTCTTGATTTCATTGAAGATTCCCCATCATTAATGGGGCTTGGTACCTTGTGTTTATAACCTTTATTAGTTCATCACAGAATTTTTTCAATAAAAAATGTACTACCTTAATTAGAGCACAAAACATACCACTAGGAGGCATTCAAATACTTCCATTTAACTATTACAGACCAAGGATTTATTTATGTTTCCAAGTTGAGCTGGAGGGAAATGAAAGCCAAGCTGCTTTAACTCATTGTGTCAAATTCTCTGAGAGTGCTCTGGCCCACCCTGGCTGTAAATTATGAGGCTCCAATGCTGTATTAACCCTTTCCAGCCCTTCCTTGAAACTGGATGGGCTAGGAAAGCTCTGATACTTTGAATGATGTCCATCCACACACAAATGACCTTTACCACGTCCACCTAAAGCCTTCAACCTGGAAGAGCGTGGCAGGCCGCCAGTGGCTCACGCCTGTAATCCTAACTACTCAGGAGGCTGAGATTTGAGAATCAAAGTTCGAAGCCAGCCCACGCAGGAAAGTTTGTGAGACTACTCTCTCCATTAAAGTACCAAAGAAAGCCAGAAGTGGAGCTTTGGCTCAAGTGTTAAGAGTACCAGCCTTGAGGAAAAAGAAGTTTAGGGACAGTGCCCAGGCCCTGGGTTCAAGACCCAGGACTGGCACCAAAAAAAAAAAAAGTAAGAGCTCATTTTTATTATTATTGAAGAAACAGTAACAACAAAGCAAGAAGGAAAGTGCATTCTCAGACCCAACCCAGTGTGCGGGCCGCAGCCCGCTCACAGCCACTGCTCAGCTCCTGCTTGCCTTCAACGAAGCCATTCATTGTGCAAGAACAGAGCACAACACTAAGTGATGACTCTGGTTTTACAGAAGACAGTTCCTGTGATTCCTGTGATTATAAGCAAAGTCGAACATTTCTGCGGTTGCTAGCATGTATTAGTGGATTCATCAAGGCCAACAAAAGAGAAAGACCATTTTTGGATACGAGGAGCAGGTGAGAGAAAGAGGTAAGAATGTAAGGTAGGCATGGCGGCTCGCTCCTGTGACCTTCAGTACCAGGGAAGTGAAGATCAAGAAGTTCATGGTTACAGACCATCCCAAGCCAAAAGCTCAGAGACACGTCTCACAATATAAAGAACTGGGCATGCTGGATGCTGGTTGCTAGCCAAACAGTAAATCCTAGCCACCCAGGAAACGAGACTGAGAATGGCCAGGTTCAAAGCCAGCTACGCAGAAAAGTCTATGAGAATCCATCTCTAAATCAACTACCAACATGTTAGGCTGCAAGCATGGCTTAAATGGTGGAGTACCAGGTGAGCAAGGTCAAGACCTTAGGTTAAAACCATGGTGTGGGTGAAGAAAAAAAAACTGGCCACAGGGTGTGTGCCTGCCACCCTAGCTAGCTTGGAGGAGCAAGGACCAGCCAGGACCGGGCATAAATGTAAGACCTTCTTTAAAAGGAAAAAAAAAATCAATGAAAGCAAAAAGGGCTACCAGGAGCATGGTTCAAGTGGTTGAGGATCTGCCTAGCAAGTGTGAGACCGTGAATTCAAATAGAGAAAAATAAAAGCATACGGGGCATCCCCTCCCCACCCCTTCCTGTCCATCAGCTAGGGCTAAATTTTCCAGAAAAATCTAAGGCAGAGCAAGGGACAGCGCAATGGAGTGGCCCAGAGAAGAAGAGGATTACAGAACTCTGATGTACAGACATCACTGAAGTTCAAGAACCAGCCACTACAGACTTGAGGAGAGAACATTCTAGGTAATGACACAGGCTTTCAGTATTCCTGAGGAGAAAGGCCTTGATGCCCTCTCTAGGCAAAGGAGATGAGGACAGACATGGAGGCTGTGGCCTTACAAAGACTTACTCACGAATCAATTGTCCTGGATTTCGGGAGGGGTGGGAGATGGCTGTCACAACGAATTTACTCTGAACTACACAAACGAAGGGAAATATACTAAATATTTTAGAAATTTCAGTTGAGGTGTGAAGTACTACAAAGAAAGACAATCAATTTAGCAAGCCCAGTAAAAAGAATCTTAAAACTTCAAAAATTATTTGTGAGCTGGACACAGGTGGCTCACAGCTACAATCATCGCTACTCAGAAAGCTCAAAGTCCAAAGCCAGCCTGGCCTGGAAGGTCTATGAGGCTCCAATCAATCAGCAAAAAGCAGGAGGTAGAGCTGTGACTTAAGTGGTAGAACACTAGCCTACCACTGAGCAAAAAAGCGAAGGGGCAAATGGGTGTTGCCAAGAGTTCCAGCCCTGGTAATAGCACATGTACACACATACACAGAGTTTCTTGTGATATATTTAATCTTTAAGTTTACAGAGAAATGATGTAAAGCAGATTATTTAGTGACAGGGCTCTACCTCCAGATTGTTTTTCTAGTAATTTAGTTATTAGCAATCATTCTTCATGAAAGTAGCAAGGTTGAAGCAAAGAATTTCTGTACTTCAATTAAAAGGTAACCCTGCCACAATCAATACCCCCAAAACAGAAG